AAAAATTAAATACTTAAGATGTACCTTTTTTTACTAAAAAAAAAAATTTCACTCAGTGTGATTTTCAACTATGAGAACAGCAAAACAAAATTGTATATAGGTTCCCAGTGTTTTCCCAATTAAGATTCCTTTTTTTTCCTCTCTCTCTAAAATCCTTGTGGGGTAGAGAAGCGGGGAGGGTACCAGTATAGAAGATACAGGCTGGAAAAAGTCCATTTAAAAGGCCAATTGAGAGCAAAAGACTATAGCTCTTGATGAAGGGGAAAGAACCATTGTCCAATCCATACTCAGGATGTGAAGTCTGGTTTAAGAAGTGGGATGCATAAGCTGCACTGGTTTGTTCTGCTTCCAATTCCAATGAGAACCAAAAGCAAAGACAAAAGCCTCGCTCCTCAAAATGTGGCCCTCACACCAGCAGCCTCCGCATCACAAAGGAGCTTTTTAGAAACGCAGACCCTCAGGCCTAACTCCACACACACTGAACCAGAATCTGCTTTAACACACATGAGGCCCAGGTGATTGTCCGCGCGCGTAGAGGACTTGGACTGAGCAGTGGACAGCTAATCCTTTCCAACTAAGGCTGTTTACTTCTTTGCTGCAAATAAATTCCCCACTGTGTCCAGAAGTACAACTCCCCTGGCACTTGGAGAGAAAAAAATTGGAACTCTGCATCCCTGTTCTGTTATCTACTAGCAAGTTACAGAACTTCTCTGAGTAACTTCCCCTAGCAAAAAAAAACAAAAACAAAAAACTACCTTCCCCAGCTGTGATGAGAATGAGAGGAGAGAGTAGTGTAAGGATGGCCAGGTGTGTGCCCAGCCCAAGGCAGAAAACTGCTTGCTTCTGTTTCAGTAGCGATAGGAAAACAAGGATCAGCAGACACAAATTTAACATTGAGAGAATAAGGGCAATTTCCCCAAAGCTGGCCGATACATTTCATACAATTCCAACAAAACTCCCATAGTTATTTTTAATTGTATACAGCAATCTTAAAATGAGTATGTAAAAAGAAATCTTTAACCAACACAAAAAAGGCAAGTGCTTTAAAAGAACAGAACATGAAAGAATGCATACAATTCTAGAGAAAAATTCTATTAAAAACACAGAAAATTTTGTTTTTAATGCAGCAACAGATAACATAAATGAAATGAAAAATAGCGCAAACTGAAATTTAAATATAAAATATTTAATATTAATTATGAAATGAAGTAATATATATAAATATATATGTATATGTAAATTGATGCTCTGCTCACTGATGGTGGAGGAAGTAAAAAGTAAAGTAACAGTGAGATAAAACTTTAAACCAGTGATTTTCAACCCATGTGCTGCAAGAATTTTTAAAGCATGCAATGCCTTACTATTTATTCAAGGACACTGACGTCTTTACCCTTAGATTGTCAAATTTAAAAATGACAACAGCCAACACAATAGCCATCGGTGTGAATGAATCAAAACTATACCTATGTTTTGTCAGATAGGCAAAAAATATATCATAGTTTTTGTTGTGTTGCAGGATTTTAATAATTAGTTTATGCGTGCCATGAGATGAAAAAGGTTGATCATCACTGCTTTAAACTTTTCAGAATGGCAAAAATTAAAAAGTACCATAATCAGCCCTGACCGGTTTGGCTCAGTGGATAGAGCATCGGCCTGCGGACTATATAATATATATATATAAAATATATATATACCATAACCAACAAGATGGCAACAAATATCTTCATTCACATAATGGGGTGTAATAGTGCTCTTATTCCTAAGGGCTGGGTTCCCAGGACAGGATTGCTACATCTAAGGAGTGCCATAGTGCTAACACTAGCAGCAGTGTTAATCACAATTACAATTACCACCATTACTACTATAAGATTCCTTTGACTCAGCAACCCACTTCCTGGTAATCTACTTACAGGAGATCAGTATTGTAGTAGTGCCAGTAGTAACAACTGCAAGTACTACTACTGCTACAGAGATAGAGATAGTACTTAAGCATCACTGTTCAAGCACTTAACATATAGTAACTCTAATCCTCACAATAACTCTAAAAAACAGAAACTATCATTCCTATTTCAGACTAGGAAATTGAGGCATAAATGTGCCTAGCAAACATAAGAACTTATACTGATACTAGAGGCCTGGTGCATGAAATTTGTGCACTTGGGCGGCGGGGGCGGGGCCTGGTCTGTGTCCTCTCGCAGTCCGGGACCCCTTGCTCCTTACTGCCCACTGCAGTGGGGGGGGGGGGGGGGGGGGGGGGCGGTTCTCAGCCCGGCCTGTGCCCTCTCACAGTCTGGGAGCCCTTGGGGGATGTCCAACTGAGATCTTAGGCCAGCTCTATAAGCCGTCAGTCGAACATCCTTAGCACTGCTGCGGAGGCGGGAGAAGCTGTGCTTGCCAACTGAGAGCCTGGCTTCTGGTTGAGCAGCGTTCCCCCCTATGGGAGCACACTGACCACCAGGGGGCAGCTTCTGCATTAAGCGTCTGCCTCCTGGTGGTCAGTGCACATCATAGCTACCGGTCATTCAGCTGTTCGGTTGATTTGCATATTAGCCTTTTATTATATAGGATTAGCTCTTTTGCTGCTGTTCTTACATATCCTGACAGCAATTCTAACCCAAAAGAAAAAAAGAACAATTTAATAAAATATCGTGAATGTACATCTGAATGTTCATGAATGGGAATACATAGACAGGTATGAGTAAATATATCATTGTATGAAATAAAGAAAAACAGAAGGACCCACACTAGACAGTTTGCATGGATTATTTTGGTGGAGGAAAGTGATTTTTGAGAGACAAGGAGGGCTGGAGAAAGGAGGAAGCAATCTCAATAATAAAAACACACACAAAGTGAGAAAGCTGAAGTATAGAATAAAAACAAAGACAACATTTCACATTATTTGGGGCGGGGTCCTCAAACTACGGCCCGCGAGCCACATGCAAATACAAATACTGTATTTGTTCCCATTTTGTTTTGTTTTTTTACTTCCAAATAAGATATGTGCAGTGTGCATAGGAATTTGTTCATAGTTTGTTTTTAAACTATAGTCTGGCCCTCCAATGGTCTGAGGGACAGTGAACTGGCCCCCTGTTTAAAAAGTTTGAGAACCCCTGCTTTGGGGACACAAGGAGCTCTATAGGAGTTTAAGGAACAGATATTTTCAAGCAAACTTCATTACTCAAAAGAGCCATATTTTTGTTAAATGATTTGGGCTTTTCCCCCAGGTAATACAAATTATGGAGAAAATTTCCAAAGAATTTATTCTTTGTTCAACAACAACACCAAAACCCCCTACTAATTCCAAGGTTCAGAACTCATACTCATCCATGTAAAGGTAAGCACGTCAAACTCAAAGGCTAACACAGGTCAAATAAACAAGGTTTAAGTTTATGTGGGCCGCAAAAAAAACTTGTTCTCCGAAAGCGAAATATTTCTTGTTGCGCACAACAAACAAGTCAGTACAAGACTAATGACGTGGCAATCGGCTGCTAAAATATTCGCTGCTAGTATTAGTGTAGAGAAATGGTGCGCCTGCGCGTAGGTGCGTAAGGGAGATGAATGCAACACCATTATAGTAACCAGTCATTAGCGAACGTTGTCGTTCGTTATTAATAATTATGTTTGACATGCTTGGCGTAGAGGAAAGAAAGCTGAGTCCTGCTCCTGGCACTGTCATCTTTGGGCTATTTGACCTTTGGCTAGTTAATAACCTCCACTTAAGTTTTCTCATCCACAAAGTGAGGAAGTTCAACCTGGTCACCCATAAATACCTTTTTAGATATTACAGTGTGATGATTCTGTTATTAACGAGTACAAAGGAGAAAAGTGAAAAGCTAGCAAATGGGGGTGTAATGATTAACATTTTAAAGACAATGGTAATTTAATGAGCCACTTAAAATTATACATTTTTAGAATGAAAACCCGCAATAAGATTAAGTAGGAATCGTACAGTTTCACGTGGTGAGTTTAACTACTCAATGCTTTAATTTTCATGTGGAGGGGGAAAAGTTATCAGTTTAGCTATCCTTCAGATTACTCACTGAAGTAAGGCTTGATTTGTCACCTTAAAATAGAGCCATCCATAGGAATAGTTCAACAAAAAGGTCATGCTCTAGAGACCACATGTAATAGCTCTATGAAGAAAGGCTGGTCAGTGACAGCCAGTCAGCCAAATAAATAAGTTACACATGACAGTTTCCAACGGAACCTTTTGAATATGTTATTCATAGAATACAAAATTGTCCAAAAACGTACCTGCTTAAGCATGATCGTTTCCTAAAACAACAAAGTTTTAATTTTTATATTCTCCTCAAAAGTTTTATAAATAATAATGTGAATATGAGTAACACCAATGAAAATTTGTTTCTGAGTGGAAAGCATAAAAAAGTCATTAGCTCGTGAGGCATAAAGATTTCCATGAGCTGGTTACAGTTAGTGTATTTTATTTTATTAAATGGGTATGGGATTTTCCAAAAGGATACACAAAAGTCCTTTAAACTCCCCCAATTTAGGAACCCTTACATGAAAAACCACCTTTTCATACTGATTGGAATCTTCTGGAAAAATCCGCCAAGTCTTTAGAACGTAAGTAAGACTGGCTAGCCACAACCAGGCTTTTAGGCTAGGATGACATAGGGAAACAATTCACGGCTTGCACAGTTATCTGAAATTCCTGAAAACAAGCAGTTCCCTAAGTAGCAGGTCCTAATTTTCTTATCTACAAGCACAGGCACGTGCATTTATTTATATCCCCAGATTAACTTCACGTCTAATTTTACTGCCACGGAGTATCCAGGGGTGGATTTCTTTTTTGAAATGGAACTTGAGCTAGATCAAAGACATTTTAAGGTCAAAATGTACTTCTCTGCAAAACGGAGGGTGTGATCCCATGAAATGAATTCATGCGTCGTCGCCATGCCCTTGGGCGCATTCTGTGGCGGCCGTGGGCAGGAAACCCCGTCCAGCCGTCCCCACCTGGCGGTGCCCTGGCACTGACTTACCCAAAAGAGCAGGTTGAGGGCGTAGAGCAGACAGCGCAGGCACCTGACGGAGTCTTCTCTGGCCATGGTGACCCCCGGGAGGGAGCAGCCCCATTCTCTCACCACATCCTACCCCCAAGGGCAAGACAGCAGCGACCTGCAGCGGGCAGGGGAGAACAGGACTGACCCCCGCGCTCCGCACCCCCAGCGCATCCCTTCTCTGCCAGCCCTCGGCTGGGTCCGGAGTCAGGTTCATTCCAGACACCGCTTCCTCAACAAGCACTTGTTGAAGTTCTGATAGGAACCTACACCCTCCGCCACGTCCCAACCGCCTGCAGATACCACCTGCTGAGCAGAGAAAAGAGTGGCTCCCCGGACGAATGAAGGCGCAGAGTCAACCCCGGGTCCCAGGGGACCCGCGGCGCTGTCTGCGGGATTCCGATGAGACGCTCGGGGAAACCTCCCTCCATCCGCGCCCCTCCCGGGGGACAGGTCCGCTCAAACCCAAACTACCCGCAGGAGGCATCCCAGGCGTCGCCGGCGGGCCCGAGGGTGGGAAGGTACCTCTCGTTAGGACAATTCCTGGGGCCCCC